GTGGAAATTTTAAGTTCATCATGAACTTTTTGGTTAAGCATTTATCCATTTCAGAACTGCATACCAAACAGACACGGTGATCGTCCTGTTAATTTGAAAATACAATGAAATAAAACTAAAGTCAAATGTTTGACTTGAATTCTTTCTAGAATAAAAGAAGTATAATAATATACACGTTCATTAGCCATATGGATTTAGGAATCAATTGAGCTAGAACAAACCTCAAACCCAATTGTTTATCCCAGTTCTCCAAATCTGTAAAGTGGAGTTTATTATAAGTACTTTGTAAGGTTATTGTGATGTTTGAAACTACACATGTGTATATAAAGGTACTTACGTATGTGTTGGAGTATGTATGTAAATCAAATGTATAGAATGTGCAAGCTAAATTACAACTATTATTACTAGTTCTATTATGTAGTTGATACAAATGAAGACATAAAAACTTTATGATCAGAATATAAATGATATATTTTATATTACTATATTATTCTGAAATCCAGAGCTGTGTAGAACTACAAATGTTAATCATGATTACTACTATTCAGACTCCATCCTTGCATGAATCAGAAAAATGTTTTATTCTGATGCACTTGCTCCAAAAGTATCTCAGGTTTAACTAAATGAGTGTACTGTAATGAAAATTATATTAACAAGGAATGTGCAAGTTTAGGGTTAGACATGTTATGCTTGGTATGTATCTGTCTCTTTTTCCATTTTCTTGCTTGCTACATTTCTCTCTTTTTAAAAACTCTTTCAACTATTCCAGTAGATAAATATATCTGCATATGTTACAGAGATATTTGCATATGTAACAGAAGAAACAGCATTGTATAATTCATAAATTCTCATGAACAACTTGATATAATTAAGACTTATTAATTTCAGGGCTGAATATCAACCAAAATATGTTTACTGGTTACATTGAGCACTTGATAGTTTACTCTGATTTAATGACCTGTAGGAAGTGAAAAGAATACCATTGTTAATTCACATTTCTTAAGAAAACATTGAATAATAATCATATATCTGCTCCACAAGGAAGAATAAAATCAGAGCCAAAATGCAATTTTCCATAATATCTAAATGACAATACATTGCTCATTTTGAAGAAATTATAATCTCACAGTGTTACTGGACACTAGAAGCATTGTTTAACATATGTTTTAGATGACATTTATATATATTGCCCAGTTGGCTTTATTTTTTCTAAATACAGAATTCTGCCTTTTCAAAATGACTTGTGTTAAAATGAAGTACTTTAGCATTTAGTTTAACATCAGAAGAGAATCAACTTTAGAAGCATAGTTTTCTGTTGTCCAATTTCAAAAACACTATTGTAATGTTGTGGAAGATTAATTTTGTTCATGTTTTTCATTTGTGTCTAAACACAAATATGGTACTTGCAGAGTAGGTAAATGACATTTAGGGGACACTGATACTAAAATCTACATTTTTAATTTTAATGATGTTTCTTATGCTTTGGAATAGAACAACTCTGGAGGAGAATAACAATTCATCCTTGTGAAAAAATATTGCTTCAGTAACATTTCATTATACAAAATAACAATGTTATTTTTATCATTTGAAAAATACAGTACAATAGAATTTAAATGGTATACATGTGCTATGCTAATGAAATAAAGATAAGGCAAGTTCTGTGGCACATAACAAGTCCTCCTTTGAATTCTAGAATATATTTGATATTGAAAGCTTTTTGTATTACTTCCAATAAAATGTAATGTGGTCAGAGTGTCCTTGCTTTTTTAGCTCAGATTTCTTTTGTTATAGTACTTTCGTAAGCACAATGTATAGATTATACACATATGGTTAAATTTTATTAAAAAGTAATTCGAGACATCATAAAAGTTATACAAGAATGCTCAATCAAAATGACTCAATTCATGAGTTAGACGTTGCTTGGTGGATAAAAGCCACTTTCAAGTGGATCATTTTCTTCAATTGTAGATGTTTCTGGCCTTTTGCAAACTTACTCTGATGAAGTGTTCCTCTTCCATTTGTCTCACTCATCTGAAATGGTTTCCCCTTAACTGGTGGATCTGAATTGCATCCAAATGATACTGATTTATAGGATGCTATGAGTTAGACTCTAGATATCCAGACATGTTTGTATAGAACCCACACAACACCATTCCTCACATTAAAGCCTAAGAGAATTGTTTCAGTTTAACACTGTGAACTGGGGCAGGAAATACATGAGTTTTTAAGGTAGATAATGAGAGCAAGAGATGAAATACAGAAAGCTTTGAGAGAGCTAGCATGTGTCCAGAAACAACAGCAGGTATGGCCATATGGCAATCAAATTAGCAAAGGCATTCTTGCCACAAAAGGCATAAAGCCCTGCAGCCCTCATGGAGAGATGGCTTATTCAGTGAGTGCACTTTGCATCGTTGAGATTACCTCCTTCCACTGTTCGGTTCTGAGGGGAATTTAAATCTATTGTAATAAATACACATTGAAAACATTTTTTTAGAGTAAAAATAATTTCTAATTTCACTTTTGTATTTCTCAGATACCATTATACCAAAAGCACATTTCCAAAGAAAACATTCCCTAAGCAAGCTTTATATGGAAAAGCTGAACGACTGTTACTTAAAGTGTTTGGCAATGCTAAGTTTTTTACTCTCTTCGTTGAAAGACAATCACTAACAATGTAAACATTATTTGTACAAGTCTTTCATTTGTATGACAGACAGACAGAAAGACAGACAGACAGACAGAAAGACAGACAGATAGATAGATGGATAGATAGATAGATAGATAGATAGATAGATAGATAGATAGATAGATAGATAGATAGATAGATAGATAGATAGATGTAGAGATATGTCTAGGGAATCTTGAAGCATATATTCCTATGAAGTTTATTTCCTGGAAATTTATTATAGCTCTCAGATTACCTCTCCAAAACTTTGACCTACAAACAAGGACAATATTATTAATACTCATTCTTACATTTATCATCAATATTATATTGTAGTGCTTGGATTCTAACAACATTCTTAGGCTGAGAGTATATTCTAGGAGAATGTCTCTGCTTGTCCTTTGTTTTTACCCTGAGGGAAAAATATGGTCTGTGGAGAACCACAAAATTTCCCCTAGCTCATTCAAGTCCAACACACACATCCTTTATGAAGGTGATGACAGCCTCCACATCAGTAAGAAGGGAAAGGTTCATGTATGAAACTTGAGTTCTCGGGTTGATTTCTATTTATAGGCAACACCACACATAGATTTTCTATCATCAAGTTTTTGAACAACACAACAAAAGCATAATGAATTACTCAAACAAAATGGGGAAGAATTTAAGTATTGATTACCTTACCAATAGTATTTTTTCTCAAGCATGATAATTATGTGTATTTTGAATAGAAAGAAATTGCCTTCTCTGGGATGAATAGATGAACTGAAAGTCTTTCATTGTACTTTTATTAAAATTAGTTTATGTGTTTCACTTAATGGAAAGCCAAATGTCTAGGAATTGATTTTCTATCATCTATCATCTATCTATCTATCTGCTATTACGTCTTGATCTATTGATTAATTGATGGTGTTGGGAAATAAAAGCCAGGCCTTGTGCATTTCAGGCAAGTGCTTTGCCACTGAAGCCCTCTTTCGGAAGCACTCAACTTTTCTAAAATGTAACCTCTTGTCATGTGCATAGATCCATACTATTTTGTTGCCAATAGTGAGACTTGAACACAGGTCCTAGGTGCTGTCCCTTAGTTTTATTCACTCAAGGGTGGCATTCTATCACTTGAGCTCCACTTCTGGCATTTTGCTCATTAATTGGGGATTTTCCTGCCTGAGCTGACTTCAGCCATGTTCCTCAGATTTCAGCCTTCTTCATAGTTAGAATTATAGATATAAACAACTAGCACCTGTCTTACTTCTCCCTTTTTTTAAACTTTTATGGTATTTTATCAGAGAAAAGCAAATATTTTATGTATCAATTACTTTATTGATAGATATTTTTAAGTTGTGTTCTTTGTAGTTTTCCTGTATTCTATTATTGCTTAGGTTTAACTATCATTTGTGTAATTACAAGAATACTTTAAGTCCTTAAGATTTGTAGGCTTACAGTACAGCAAAACATTCTTGGATATTTGCTGCTGAAAGCATTTCTTTTTTAATTATGCTTCAGATGTACCAGGTTGGCAAATAATTCAAGATATTATTTTTAACATCAAATATAATTTGTTCAAAATTTACATTAATCTTTCTCATAACGAGTCACTTCCATTTTGTCTTCCTGTCATCCTGGAGAATGGAAGTGTAATTTCCCAGAGGCTTTAAGAATTGGGGGAGTATTAAATGTGGCTAAAATTAAGTGATTAATAATTCACTTTTAGGTCATGAATCAACTTCATGAGATGCTAAGGATAATTTGCAACCCCAGAAGTATGAGCAGTAACAATGCACTTTTTTAAGACTCAAGAACTCTCAAAGGTTGGCTGCCCAAGCTAATTAAACTTCAGTCATCTAATACCAAATTTATTTCTTCTTTGTACTGAATTTCCTCAGATCTTCTTGACAGGAAAATGTCACTTTCCCTGACAGCTGATAGACAGGTTATGTAGCACTGTAATTGAAGAGAAAAGGATAGCTTAAAGCTACTTGTTTTAATGGCTCTATGCATGGCCTTTTCATTCTTTTTCCTTCCTTCCTTCCTTCCTTCCTTCCATTCTTTCATTCTTTATTGTTTCCCATAAGATTTCTATGACAGGCACAAAAGGCCTTAGCAAATAGGCCCAGTGCCATTTTTCCCTGCTTCCTCAAGGGGTAATTATCTTACTCCATCAATAGTGCTGTCAGAAATTGGGCACATAATTCAGCATTTAAATGAACAAGCAATGTAATATTTCCTGTCTCCCAGTGGAATGCTTTGCAGCTCACATTCTTCTCTGTCACTCGTTCATTCTTGATATATGTCCACTACCCCGTCTTTGAGTATTTCTCTCCCTTGTGTTTCCCTGCAGATGTTGGCTCCGACTTGACACCTACTTCATTTGGAGTTTTATAGGACCAGCGACCTTGATAATTATGGTGAGAATTCCTAATTAACTATGTATTTTCCACATCAAGAAATAAAACTTTAGCCATTCCTGTACTGACTTTAATTTACATAGGTTAATTTGAGGTGAAGCATGTACTTATTTGACCCTACATAACTCAAGCAATTAGGCACTCATTATATGCTACTTTTATACTGTAAAATAGTTAATCTAAACCTGCAGGAGAAAAATACATGAATGTGAAGTGTTTTGCAATCTGTGGCCACTTACAAATCCAATCCAATTTAGTCCATTTAGTTATATAGATAATTAAGCAATGATAACTTCAACAATAGTATATTTTCATTTTTTTTCTTTGGGATAATTTGAATTGAGAGTATGGAGGAATGAGAAAGATGGGAAAATACCTATTTCTTCCAGTTTTGTCATGTCTCTTTAAAACGAAAGCTTAATAGAATTTACTTGGGCACAGCCCAATTAAGCAGGCATTCTGAAATCATGCTTCTCATTTTATTTTCAGCTGAATAATATTTTTATTTCCAATACAATTTTTATGTTTAGACCAAAGTATTAGTACTACTCTTTATTAAAAATATAGTTACTGCCAGCTGTAGGTGACTCATGCCTGTAATCCTAGTTACTCAGGTGGCTGAGATCTATTTATCCTAGTTTGAAGCCAAACTGGACAGAAAAGTTCCCATGAGTTTCAAATTAACCACTCAAAAAAACCCAGAAGTGGCACTGTGCCTCAAGTGTAGAGTGCCAGCTTGAAGCACAAAGAGGTTCAGCACCTAGGCACTGATTTCAAGCCCCACAACTGACTGAAAAAAATATATGTGTATAGTTGCTACTTATTTTTGTTATCCCTTTGTCTTTGAATAAAATATAGGGCCACAATTTCTTATTTTGAACTACTGGGATAAATATATTTTGGAAGTAAGAAATGTTTCAGAAATTGGAAAGGCAATATGATCTATATACTTTATATGTACATACCTACATTGGTACATAACATACATACGTAAATACATATATACATACATATAAAAAGTAAGAAATAGGATATTGCTCCAAATGAAATATATTAACCATTATTTTTATAAGAGATGAATAAAAGCTCATAGAATACTGACAATGTGCAGTTATGTCAATACAAATCACATTTTCCCCTGCAAATGTACTCAGTTCAAGTCAGGTTTATTAAGTACCCAATACATAAATCATGTATGTTTGCTAATACTGGGGCTTGAACTGAGGGTTTTGTGCAATTTTAGCAATTTTTCTCAAGGGTGACATCATACTACTTGTACGACATCTCCACTCTGTTATTTTGCTGATCATTTGAAGATAAAAGTCTCTCAGAGTTGTCTGTCCTAGCTGACTGACAACTGGGGTCCTTGGATCTTAGCATCTTTAATAGCAAGGATTGTAGACATGAGCCAATGCATTTAAATTTTTACTTTTAATATTGTTTTGACTTAGGGATAAATGATAAAAGTTGTCAGGCAATATTGTAGGGAAATTTTAATGGGGCTTTTAAATTAAATTTTTCTAGGATCTACCATTTCCAAACTGTAGAAAGTATAAATGAGCCAAATGCCAAAGGACAATGTAATATGTGGTTTTCAAATTAACCACTCAAAAAACCGGAAGTGGCACTGTGCCTCAAGTGTAGAGTGCCAGCTTGAAGCACAAAGAGGTTCAGCACCTAGGCAATGATTTCAAGCCCCACAACTGACTGAAAAAAATATATGTGTATAGTTGATACAGATAGTTTACACTGGAATTCTTGGTTCTAATTCATATGCTTTCTGTAGTCTCAGTGACAAAATAATATCATGACAGATTGTAATATCAGAATTTAACCAATACTTTCTAATCCTTTTAAGAATAATATATAGGTATTTGTTTAAGAATGAGCTGATTTTATATGTATGTATATATGTATCTATCTATCTATCTTTTTTTTTTGTCAGTTGTGGGGCTTGAGCCTGTCCTGGGCACTGTCCCTGAGCTCTTCAGCTCAAGGAGAGCACTATATACTTGAGCCACAGTGCCACTTCGGTTTTCTGGTGGTTAATTGGAGATACGAATCTCATGGACTTTCTTGCCCTGGCTGGCTTTGAACTTTGATCCTTAAATCTCAGCCTCCTAAGTAGCTAGATTACAAGCGTGTGCCACTGGCACTGGGTGATATATGTATTTTTATAATGTAGCATTTGAATCACAATAAATTCACCCAAATGTTCAGGGTACAGAAATAGTAGCACTCAGAAGCCCTAGAGAAATAATAATCTTTGTTTGTTGGTGGCTTGTGTTTATTAAAAAAAAATACACTAAGCTTTGAGTGTTGAAAGATTTGTCCATCAAGATGAGTACCTGTTGTCCTAGCTTCTCAGGAAGCTGAGAAATGGAAGATCAGTATATGAGACAAACCTGGTCAGAAAACCATGAGACTCCATCTTCAAAAAAGAAACAAGCAAAAAGCAGGTCAGAAGCATGTCTCAAGTGGTAGAGTAGAAGTTGAGAAGCAAACCAAGCAAGCACAGGGTTCTGAGTACCACCAAAGGGCAAAGGAGCAGTTTTCTGTCATTCTAAATTGCTGCTGATTTTGTGTGATTTGGGCACAAAGAGTGCTTTGTACCACATTGCTCCAACTGGCTTCTTGCCCTTTGCTAAAATACTAGGCAGGCGCTGGTGATCAAATTCCTTTAAATGTACACTCAATACTAATTTACCAGAACGATTCGTTTGTAACAGAAAATAGACTTGCCTTTTTCTTTACTGTGGTTATGAACCATAACATTACCTTTTTGCATTCCAGCTTAATGTAATCTTCCTTGGAATTGCTTTATATAAAATGTTTCATCACACTGCCATACTGAAACCTGAATCAGGCTGCCTCGATAATATCAAGTAAGTGATTTTCATTTTTGTTTGCTACGTATTGTACTCTGCAGCTATGCCGGCTTTTTATTGTGTTCAAAACAATATGACTACATTATTATGAAGGTCAATGTACTGTCTATGCTGAGTAAGTTAATTTATTGACTCTTGAAGTACCTGAAAACAGTACAGTACAGCTCTCTAGTTTACCCACTTTTCTTCTAAAAGTTTTGAGTGAAATCTGTAGTCACTTTTTCCTCAAAAGAGATAGAAAATTTCCTGAAGAGAATAGTCAGTTCTTCTCCAGATTAATGACTACCTACATTCTCTCACATTCTTCTCTCTACTTTGAATATGACAAGGACAAGATGGCACCTGCAAGTAGCAAAGTAGGATTGTACACTTCCAGAGAAGACTGCATTAGGTGAAGAATCTGGATATCTGCAACTAATCTGTCTCCTTGTCAGGAAAGAAGGAGGGAATCTTACCTAACATACATGTATGGGTTGAGCATCCCTGATTTGAAATATTAGGATCAAGAGTATTTCAGATATTTAAGTTGTCTTTTCTTTTTTAAATTTGGAATATCTGCATGTATTTTATTGCTGAGAAATCCCTACTCTAAAAATCTCAAATTAAAAATGCTTCAAAATCTGAAATGTTTTGATTCATCATTTGGAATTTCAGAGCATTTTTGGATTTAGGATTTTTCAGCCTAGTAATAGCCAAATTTGCTTTGAATTATAAATACTTGGCTCTGAGTTTTTTTGTACTGACATAACCTCCTGGGAGGTGTATTTCTCTACAAGTATCTTTTTACTTAATCATCTTTTCACATTTAAAGTACTATTTCTCTATGCTAAGATAGCCCAAACCAGAGAGACAGGAAAATATTCACATTAACTTTTAACATAAGTGGTGCTTTAAAACATAAATGTAGTTAACTGAAATTTTCTGAAGAAACATTCCTTGGAATAACAAAAAGCAAAAATAAATATATTTTGCTTGCTGCTTAGAATTACTGATATTTGCAAACCATAGTAATGGTGAGGTGCATATTTATTATTAATATGTATGATATAGTAAAATGGATTTTCTTATGGTCTGCTTATGTATGTGTTAATGTGGAGCCATGGATGCACATTCAAAGTTTTCAGGAGGTCACCTGTAACTATCATGTCCTTACTCACATTCTGGGAGCCACTTCAGACAGCAGTTGTCACTCATTTTCCATCCTACTGTACCTGCCATTGCCCACAAGGAGGCCTCCAATGAGTGTTTAAAAAAAAAAAGTAACAAGGAAGTGGAGGTGTGGCTCAAATGGTGGAGCTCTAGGCCTGGAGTGGAAGAGCCAAAGAGCCAAATCAGAGTGGGAAGCCCTGAGTTCTAGCACCAACAAAACAAAACAAAACGGGACTGGGAAGGTGTCTCAGTGGTAGAGTCCTTGCCTTGCTTTCATGAGGCCCTGGGTAGAATTCCTCAGCACCACATAGCAGAAAAAGCAGGAAGTGGCACTGTGGCTCAAGGGGTAGAGTGCTAGCCTTGAGCTGAAGAGCTGAGGGACAGTGCCCAGGCCCAGAGTTCAGGCCCCATGACCTGAAAAGGAAAGGGAAAAAAGGTCAGTATACCAAAGATTTTAATGACAAGTATTAATGATACTAAACAGTTAATTCCAATGAAGAAATCATTTGTCTACATTAATTGCAAGGGAGAAGCAAGGAATTCGAAAGATAAAAACATCATAAACTCAGAATATCTACTGTGAATAATTGCTTTTTATAATTCTTAATTTTACTTTGTTGACATAATAATCATTCTATTGCTGAATTATGTACAATTAAATTGTCATTCTAAAATATAATGTTAGTTACATGGACTATTCATCATAAAAATGAATTTGAATAAGTCAAATAGTACCACAAAATATATTTTCTTAATCATGGAATATATTTCTCCAGTGAGACTAAGCTATGCATTTATATCTGTTATCTTGTATCCTAAAACAAGATGTAAATAGTTATTTATCATTTATGATTTAGTTCAAAAACTATCAGAAAGTGACTAAAAATGTTATTTACATAACATCCTTCACTAGTTTGAAAAGTAGAGACAATGATCATTCTTTGTCCTATTCTACAAGTATATTTTTAAGTCAGTTTTATGACATTTTTGTCCAAAGCATTAAAGATGAAGACGTTTTCTTTATAACATACTCAGTACAGACCTTTTAAAAGTTTAATTTGCTCATTGTTTGTATTTCTCTAGATGATATTGATTGGTAGTATTGTTTAGACAAACAATGAAGCACATAAAAGCTAATAATTATATTTAGTGACATTGATGGTATCAAGTTTTATAAGGTAAAGAATAAAAAGCACCCCAAACTAAAAATAAAACCAAAACCATAAATAACATTATCTTGATTTGAATTTTGTCTCAAAAGCTTGCTATAGTCCAAGGATATAGTTCACCTCTAGTGACATCTAAAATCCTGAGTGCTCTGATGTATTCAGTCTTGGGATTGAAAAATAAATAAATGCCTAGATAAAATAATATATAAACTGCTAGGATAGTATTTTTGGAAGTATTTATCTTTTCTGAGATTTCTCTTTTTTTGCTTTAAAGTGGCAGGAAGAGTGAGGAAATTACCTACACGTCAAATAAGCGAAGAAATATAAAACAATCATTGATGAATAACTACAGAAAAAAATCTAATGAGGGAAAGCAAGAAAACTGAGTATTAGAAAAAGTATCAACAATGGTTTTAAGATGAAAGAAAACCATGATCTGGTTAAGAACTTCAGAGAAGGAATCTGGGAGTAAGTGGAAGAATTGCAGGAAGTGGGATCCAGAGAAAAGCTAGAACAACTTTACTACGTCAGATTTGAGGAAGAGATTCCTCTACCAAACTAACAGAAGCCAGAAGAGAGAAGCAGTTTTGCTAAGGTGGATTAAATAATCACAGTCGTAGCATAGATAGGTGAATGGAATCAAGGTTAGAGCAGTGATTTGAAGGATATCTACTGACTCTCCTGGACAAAATAAGATATGTTCTTCTCCAGGTTGAGAAGCCATGTTGGAAAGAGATCAAACATCTCAAGAAATGTTACTTACTACTTCATAGAATTTTAAGGAGATTTAATTATATTTAAATGCATTGTATTTACTATGTAAAAAGAGAGCTTTGAAATCAACAGGGCAAAATTGAGAAAGGAAGAAGGAGCTGGACAAATTTTTTGGAACATTAAACAAGATGCAAAAGCTGTCATCTTTTTAAAACAAAATTATATGTATAAAATGTATATTTATATGATATAAGTAATATGAGAGTTCTTTTTAAAGATGCAGACATCATTTATCTGATAATACTTTTTAGTATATGTAGGAAGGCATGGAATTTTGAGGAGTATTTTGAAGGAAGGTAGGTTTTTTTTTTATGTATGTTTTGCAGGGGTGAAAAAGGTTGACCACAGTGCTCAGTATATGAAGAAAAATATCACCACATTAGGCTTTTTGGAATTCTTTCTTTCTTTCTTTCTTTCTTTCTTTCTTTCTTTTCTCTCTCTCTCCTTCCTTCCTTTCTTCCTTCCTTCCTTCCTTCCTTCCTTCCTCATTTGTTCTTTCTTTCTCTCCTGTTGTACCAGTCCTCGAGCTTGAATTTAGGGCCTGGGTCCTATCCCTGAGCCTTTTCCTCAAGGCTAGGGCTCTACCACTAACCTCGAGCCTCCACCTCTGGCCTTTTCTGAGTAGTTTATTGGATAAAAGAATCTAATGGACTTAGCTAACTGGGCTGGCTTTGAACTGCCATCCTCAGATCTCGGCCTCCTTAGTAGCTAGGATTACATGCATGAGCCACAAGAGCTCCATGGAAATCTGCCTTTCACTCACCAAATATTTAGTATTTTCTCATTGTACAATTCCATTCGTTCATTATATATATATATACATATATGTATATATAATATATATGATGCATATATAATATATATACATATATATGTATATATATATATCATTTGAATGTTTCTACTTTTTTCTAGATACATATAACCTACTCAATTTACTTTCCTTCTCCTTATCACTGCCAATATTTACTTTTAGGCAGATATAAGCATTTCACAAAATGTCAGCAATGGTTTCTAATCTCTTCTCTTCCTTCCTCATATCAAGGCTAGCTCCTACTCCCTCAAGCCAGAGAGATCTCCTGAAAAATAGTAATTCAGACATGCAGGTCTTCAGGGCAAAACTCTGTGAGAGGTTCTCATCAATCTGTTCCAGCCCAGTCAACCAAACTTTCCTGCTTTTTGCTCCCTCTTTCTTCAGGGTTCTTTTCATCCATTTGCCGCTCTGGCCATTTTAGGTAAGCTCTCTTTGGTCTGTGGTCTTATCTCTACTGTTCCTCTTCCCTAACACTTTGTCCAGCTGGCTTCTTTTAACCGTAGTTAGTTATCATTTTATTTAAAAGTAGCTATTTCTTGATTCCAGAAGAGTGGCAGAGTTATCATTAACTCCTGTGAGGGTAGCAAAGAGCATTTCTATGACTGTCTCATCACTGTATAATAATATACTCTTGAAAACAATAAACAATAAGTGTCTGATTGATTACAGAGAAAATGAGGATCCCAATTCTCAAGTTTAACTTAAAAAATAATTTAAAGTAAACAATACATGCCTATTTGCTGGTTGTTGACGCGTAATTTGTCTCTTTTCATGAAAGTAGATAATTAGAGTGAGAAATAAAAAGTAATTCCAAGAATTAGAAATTTCTGGTTGAGTTTTTCATGCATGAAAAACAAAACATAAAGTAATCATAGCAAAAATCTAACCTAATTAAAAATAGTAGGTGTAAATAAGAAGTAGACTATTATTGAACTGATACCAGCCAAAAAAATACAAAACTTGAATTTGTGAGTTGTGCAAATAAAACACCAGCAGTTCTCATGATCACTCATTTCTATTGCTGCAAAATATTTACAATATTTTTAAGTATTTTTTATTAAGTAACAACACAACTTATTTTCAAGAATGAA